ATAGAAATCAAGGGTTAATTCGAGCTCATCGTCCAAAATTATCTCGTACTGGGGCCGTCAATATTGCATATGAGCCCCACCCGCGCACATGTCATACATCCCCACACCTCCACCAATCCTTGTCACCATGGTTTACCATCTGTTTGATTTGGTGGTACTGCAGGGTTGTGCCTTCACGAATCCAGGCAAACGCATGACCATTAGTGCTGAAGTAGTAGATGTTGGTCCCATTTCACCAGATTACATGCTTTCGAACATTAATTGTCCACTTAGCATGCGACTCCACGAATTGCAGCCGGCCCCTGATGTTTTTCCACAATTGTCACAGCTTCTACGATTGCTGCATCGTGACTATACCCGCGGACCCTTGTGTGATTTTTATGGTGAAAGGATGCACCGTCAACCGGGCAACATTACCCTACAACAGTACGACGAAGACGATTCGTGATAAGATGGGTCCGACTGGCTGATTGCATCTTTGGCCACACCGCAGCATGGCTAGTCTCAGAGATACCATTCAATAAAAGATCTTCCACAATACTCATGCCTACGCCCAACTTCTTCGCGATTTACCTAGTGCTCACCCCCTCATGCAAAATGGTGCGTCCAGGCAGAGTGCAAGAAATTCCCTACCGAGGTTTGCACTAACCTCGTAGGTAACATGACTAGGAGTTTGCGGGTGGTGATCAAGGCCAATGGTTAGTGAGCTATGTACTAGAAACGTGGTTAGGAAGTTTGCTCTCTCTGCTTGGAACTATTTGTCCGGATGTACCCATTTTTTACCTTCTGGGATATCAGTTAGATCCAATGTACTGTTCTGGATTTTTGTACTGCAAACACATTCACTATGTGCCCCTCCCTAATCTTACCACCATAAAACATTAAGGCTTAATGTATAATGGTCTTACAGCCTAGAAACCCTGATTAATGCAAAACTTACGGACAATTGTTTCCGTCACTGTAGTCTGCCACCGGAGGTACGTGCTCACCCTCTTCCAGCAAAGCCTTGCCCTTGCGCTTCCTCGCTTGTAATACGAGGAACACCGATTTTGCTGGTCTTCGTTTCTTCACGTGCCACGGTTCCAGCGCTTCATGCTTGTCGATCTCGTATTTCAGCAACAAAATCGTTATCAGCTCACCCAGGCGGGCATTGCAGACTGCACCGTGGTCCCAAGAGTTGATCACATTTTGCTTGGTAAAACTACGCTCGGACCCCACAGTTGAGAATGGTCACACCGCGCATGCTTGCCAGAGAGGCATGCGATTGGTCGAAGTTAGCACCGTAGCCATAGAGATACTCCCTCGTCTTCTTCTCCCTCACAGTCCGAAGTCGCGGCCACTTGCCCGCCCGAGACAGCTTTGGCGGCCCGAGCATCAACAGGTCGTCCAGCCACACCAGCAGGTTCGTCATGCTCCCCCTCGCGAATTTCGCACACAACAGCTTGCAGTCCCGGTAGTTCCTCCAGTAGACATGTCCCTTGATCTGCCGCTCGTGCATATGGTACGTGTGCGTCACCGGCTGCCCGTCCTTGTCGACGCCCCGCATCTTCACTCTCTTCACCCCTCCGCGCCCGTACACGGTTAGGAAAGCAATCAGTCACATGCCGCTTACTCCAGCACTGAAAACCCTGCCGCACTCCAAGTTGCGGTGTCGAAGATCCCCCAACGCCTGGTCAATGCCGCACGTAAACCTACGTGAGGATGAGGACTTTGAAACACGGATTCAGGAGGAAGCTTTACAGTCGGGCAGAATATCACCATACCAGATTATTTGGGACGCAACGATGTACACCACGAGGCGGTCCCACTATTGGGCTGCCTGTCTAGCGAGCATGACACGGACACGTGCCGGAGGCCCCGCGCATTAGCCTCACCGACCTTGACTCGATGTTGGCGAGACTAACATCATGTACAGTGTTCATATTCCATCGCTTGCCGATGGCGGCTACTCAAGGCCTTTCACATCAAACATTCGTACGAACACGGATTTCTGACGTTCGTGCCAGCGGAACCTATACAACTCACTCCATCTGCTGTGGCTGGGGACAGAGGTCGGTGCACCACTTCGGTGACAGGTTGGTGCGTCTACATGGTTGTAGACGCTAGTGTAGCAGCGTGCTCTGATATACGGGCGAACATTCGTTAACGTCCTCGTCGCCCGCTTTCCGGGCCGGGCTTGCTCTGGACGTGCCGTGCATTATGGTTTGTCACTTCCGACATGTGCAATTCCACAGGGCATCATTTGTCGGTGACATCCCTCCAATTGGGGTGAGCCTATACCAACATCCAATTGGCAGAAGCATGCGCGACATGACGAGGCTTCAATACCGAGCTGATTCTGTCATTCATGCTTGCACGCCGGGATCAGCCCCGTTTTCCAGATCCAGAACTTGATCCTGGTCTGTAGGAGTACGACCTAAGTTACATTCATTCTAACATGGTTCGTCGACCAATCATTCAATTCCGCAAAGCGCAACACTGCAGTTCATTCCGAAAGGTCCTACGGACTATGCAGTAATATGACGACCCTTCTAAACTAATCTAACAGATGCCATATACCCGTATCAATCACCATCCTCGAATTGTATTGCTCGTCAGCTGCGACGTGTACTAGCCGTGAAATCGTTACCCACAAGTCGTGACGCGTGCGATATGAGCAGTGCCATTTTGCGAGATTGTCACCATTTCCCGACGTTGCGTACGAAGAACAAAATAGCGGCCATAAGGTGTGAGGTTTTTTTAGGTCTCGGGATGTTTTAGAAGGCAGAGGTTGTTCAATATGATGCGTTTTATTTCGTGCATTTTGTTTCATGCACCATCCGATCCCGTTTGCGCTTTACTGTGTTATTTTACTAGCCCTGAAAGGTCCCATTTGGCTTCTGAGCCACCGGGGTGAAGCCTGCTCAGGAAGGTCGTCATATGGGGTTATTTATGTATGAACAGATTAACATCATTGGTTTTTGATACGTAGGGTTCGTGTTATAAATTCACCTTGTTGCATAGTCTATAAGTTCGTGTGGCTGACCATCCAAACAGCACAGCAGGAGCATCCAGCACCTGACAACCAGCGGCAGGAGAAAGGAGCTGCATCGCGATGACATCCACTCTTGGTTTGCAGCCAATGGCGAGCTGCCGATAGTGTTGTGCCACGTGTTATCCACATTGCTGCCCAATGAACGAGCATTGTCAAGCGCACTGCTGGAATATTCCGTCACTTTGGTCCGCTGGCATTTTGTGTAGGGATGGAATAACCCTTTCCTTTTGGCCAGGTTCGTGGCAGCTTTGCCACAAGGACCATCGCACCGGCCCAAACGTTGTGGTGATGTACAGTACCAACGCTGCCAGGAAGTTGTTGCCACTGTTTACATTGTTGCGAACTTGCCCAGGAAAGCGTGTACATCTCTTTGCCCTAAAGCTTCCAGTAAATTTAGCGACTACTTTTTCTATTCATTCTGCTCACCCACTGGAGCTCGGAACATCACTTTGGGCAGAAGTCCAGTCGCGCAAACGCCAGCACAATTAGGAAGCAGTAAACTCTGCCCGATTCTTTATTACCTCGACTGGCTTGGCCCCTGGATTTTTCATGTCCGGACAGCTCGACAAATGTCGCGCCGCCCTGAATGCTGCGTGGACACAGCCCGGCCCAATGGATCGTATCCAGTCACTGCTCACCACAACACGTCGCAAGGGGGCAGCATGAACGTCCTGTCCCAACTGTTGAGAGGAAGTGTAGAGCCTAGAAAACACGCAACCTTATCGAATGCGGCAGGTTGTACATTGGTCAAAGTCGGATCACGGGCAGTAAATAGACTCCAGCACTCGTGTGGCGGACGCTTGAATTTTGGGTCCCCTACCACCCCATGTCGCCAGGCACCTGGACTCCCCTCACACGTTGTGGTAAGCCCTGTACACCTCCATGCGACGCAACTCTTCAGTTTCGCGTAGGTTGCGTTTTGGTTGAGCAGCCAGTGCAGAAACACGTGACACAAACTTTCTATGGGACCCCACAGCAGCCAACGAAACACAGCCCAGCGTCCCTCAGACCCACGAAACCGGCCGACGCCCTTAGGGTCTCGCACGTCCAGCCCATTTGATCACTGTCTTCCACCTCTCTCACTGCCTCACTAGGAGCTCTTGCGCCATTTACTCCGTTGTGCCGTCGTTCCTAGCATCCCCCCTTTAGCCGCTCCTGAGTTGGTAGTTTCTTAGGCGCGGCGCGCTAATGACGCGGTGACCTATCTGGTATAAGAATGCGTCAGGCGCGCAGATCGGTTTTGACGATAGCCAGGGTAGTGCCGTCGAGCTGGCCACTACACGTCGGTTCGACATCACTTAGTCAACGTCAGAACAATGCGACGACGGGCGCTGCGACGTCGGAGCACGACGTCTCGCGCTGCGACGTCTGACGATGCGACGCCTGGCGATGCGACGTCAAGCGATGCGACGTCTAGCCATGCAACGTCTGGCGATGCGACGTCTTCCGTCGCGTCGTGTGGCGCAGGGATGCCGCGCGCTGTAACGATAGCGACGGGCGCAGCGACGTGTAGCGCGGCGACGTCTAGCGTTGCGGCGTCTGACGTCTTGAAGTTTTGCGATGCGAACACCGCTCGTGGCGACGCCCCCGTTGTAAGTCTCAGGTATTCCTCACTAAAGACCGCATCGCAGGACCGGTCATGCAGCGCCAGTCATGTTAAAATGCAGTCATCCAGACACAGTCCAGTATAGTTTCCAGCTTCTCACCGCCACCTCGACTAGTTTATTCACACCACGCTCTGCTCTCGTTCTCCTCCCTTTTCCGTGAACACCCTCATGGCGCCCAAGAAGCAGGTTTCCAAGCTCGGTGATGGCGACACTCGTTCGAAGACCACGCGAAACAATCGCAAGCAGAAGGGTGAGAGCTTCCTCGCCAAAGGCAAGCCCACTTATGACAAAGACGTGACTGCACAGCGAAAAATCGGGTCGGAAGCGGCGAAGACGGGTCAGATTGGGAGAGGATGACACATCCGACAATGACTCCAACCGCTGCTTCCGATCAGGAGGAGGAGGATGAGGATGGGGCAGGCCGTGATGTACGCAAGCGGAACGAGAGTTTGGGGCGTGAATCCGGGGGAGGCGACGAAAGTGACGAGGACGAGGGAGCGGAGACAGGAGGTGAGGAAAGTGACGACGAAAATGCCGACAACGACACGGATGGGGATGGTGAGGAAGAGCATGTTGATGAGAATGTCGAGGAGGATGAGGGTCGTGACGCTGGAAAGTCGGACGACGACGAACATGACGATGAGAATGAGTTGGATGATGAGGATGCTGACGAAGCTGTTGCTGAGGATGCTGACGACGGTGGCTGATGAGGATGCCGATGAAGATGCTGATGAAGCTTGCGCTACGAGGAGGGAAAGGTGCGCCTCTTTCAGCCATTGGCTCATCGAAGAAGGAGGCATCAACAATGGATATGGAGAATGGGGATGGTAGGAAAGAGGCTAATGGTAACACTGCCGGCGCAAGGAAGAAGCTGAAGCAAACGGTCGCCAATGGGAGCTGTCAGCAGTGAACGTGACAGTCAAGCACAAGGAGCAACCTGATGGAGACGGTGAGTAGAAACTCCTGCGTGAGGCTATTTCTGGATGTCGGGAAACCATTGCACCATGCTCTTCGTACTAGCAATGATGCCTATGCCATGCTTTGTGATGGGTCGTATTCATCAACCTCTGAACATCCCTTTGCTGCGGTTTTTGCACATCCAGCAGAAGGGACGGCTTCAAATGGTAAAGATTTCAAGCCGACAAGCACGGAGGAGGCCACGGAGGGGGGGAAGGGCCCGGGCTCGGATGAGGCAAAGGGTGCAGATATGGCCATGGATAAGGGGCAGGAAGGGATCTGGGGAAGGATAGGGTTAAGGGGAAGGGAGAGGACAAGGGGCTTGTCAAAGTAAAGGTTGAAGGAGAGGAGCAGGGGAAGGCTAAGGATCAGGGGAAGGCGAAGGGTAAGGGGAGGGCCAAGGAACCGGGGGTGGAAAAGGGTACGGATAAGGCAAAGGATAAGGGGAAGGGTAAGGATGAGGGGAAGGCAAAGGATACCGGGAAGGCAAAGGATACGGGAAGGCAAAGGATACGGGGAAGGCAAAGGATACGGGGAAGGCAAAGGATACGGGGAAGGCAAAGGATACGGGGAAGGGTAAGGATACAGGGAAGGCAAAGGAGGGAAGGCCAAGAATAAGGGGAAGGATGTGGGATAAGGGGAAGGCCAAGGGGAAGGATTTGAAGGACAAGGGCAAGAGGAAGGGATCTGAATCCAAGGCAGCCAATGGTGAGTGCCACGTCAGTGTAACTTCGCCCGTCTTGCCAGCCTCCCTGTACATGGCACACCTGTCCCTTTTATCCTGGCCTCCCTGCCCCTCCCTCCATCCCTCCTCCATTAAATCCTCCATACCGCCCACCCTCCCTGACCCCTTTTTCATCCATGCCTCTTGCTCTCCTCTCCCTCCTTCACTCCCTCCCTCCTCCCCTCCCTCCCTCCCTCCCTCCCTCCTCTTCCCCCCTTGCGTATCTTCAACCTCTCACCCATCACCCAACGTGTACCACGTCGGAGCTACCCCGCCGGATTGCAAGCCACGGTGCACTTTGCAACCCGAGCTTCTTCATCCATGCCTCCTGCTCTCCCCTCCCTCCTTCACTCCCACCCTCCCTCCCTCCCTTCATCCTCTCCCTCCCTCCCTCCCCTCCCTCCCCTCCCTCCCCTCCCCTCCCTCCCCTCCCTCCTTCCCTCCCCTCCCTCCCTCCCTCCCTCCCTCCCCCTCCCTCCCTCCCCTTATATTGCAGTACTGGCGCTTTCTGGGGCACCGCCACCAGGGAAAATCTACTGCATGTCGTCCGAACGGCATGCGATCTCCGCTGCTGCGCCAAAGGTAGTCGCTTCGACTTCGGGGTTGAGCACCGAGGAGAAAGCGGTCACACGTGCTGAATTTATAGCACTGGAGGCCAACCTCCTGGGCCAGCTTAAGGCCATAAGGGCTCTTGTGGAGGCGCAAGGGGTGGGCCCTGTGCCAGAGGCGGTCATGGTGACTCCATCTGCATCTACAGTTGCACCGGCGGTGCCTGCCCCCTCTAGGCTCACAGAGAGTCCACTGGTGTTGGCAAAGGCCATTGTCATGAAGCACGTCGATGACTACAAGGTGGGTTGGTGTGGGGGGTCGTGATGGGCACACGAAAACGGGTGCTGTTTTGTAGGCTTTGTGCTATCCGTGCGACTTTTTGCTTTTGTGTACTCGCCTTGTTCCCCTGCACCGCTGGTCGTTTTGTGATTGTCTGTCTCTCTTTGTGTCTCCATCATCCGTTTACCTTGCAACCTCCTCTCCCCCCGTCCCATACTCACCCACTTCATCCGCTTGTTACCAGCTTTACCCTTCTCCTTTCACCAATTTTTGTCGCCACCCATTCGCACGCTTTGCATTCCCTACATTCTGTTGTCAGCTTGACGCTTCTAGTTTTCCTCACCTTTTCAAAAACCCCTCTCCCCCCACCCCCCTGCTACTCTCTCTCCTTGCCCCTCTCTTCTTCCCCCCTTCTCACCTCCCATCTCCTCTCCTCCACCCATAGGATCTGTCGAAGCGCGTGGCAACACACCTGATCTTCACCATCATTGCGGGGAAGATCCAGTTCTACCCGTCTTCTGACGAGGCCTTGGAGCATGGCTTCCAGGTTTTCGTCTCGGGGATCGTGACTGATGCGCTGAAGTTGCTCTTCGATCACAATGACCCGGCCACCCGTGGTGTTTTCTTCGAGCAGCTGTCGACCACGAGGACCACGATCAATGGATGTATGCGGAAGGTCGGACTCACTGCATTAGGGCGGCAAGGCAACCGTACGTATGTGAAGAATCTTCCAGCGGATCTGCCAGCCCCTGAGATCTACTACCACGACGACGAGCTGAAGGACAAATACTTTGATGGTGAGGTTTATTGTGGTCCCCTTTTTGCTCCATGTAAACAATGCTTAAAACCTCTCGTTACTCATGACTGTATCAAATCTCCATCCCTCCCTCCCTCCCCTCCCTCCCTCCCTCCCTCCCTCCCTCGTCTTCCCCCCTTTCGTATCTTCAACCTCTCACCCATCAACCAAGGTCTACCACGTCGGAGCTACCCTGCCGGATTGCAAGCCATGGTGCACTTCGCAGCCCGAGCTTTTTCATCCATGCCTCCTGCTCTCCCCTCCCTCCTTCACTCCCTCCCTCCCTCCCTCACTCACTCCCTCCCTCCCTCCCTCCCTCTCTCCCTCCCCTCCCTCCCTCCCTCCCTCGTCTTCCCCTTTTTGTATCTTCAACCTCTCACCCATCAACCAAGGTCTACCACGTCGGAGCTACCTTGCCGGATTGCAAGCCATGGTGCACTTCGCAGCCCGAGCCTTTTTATCCATGCCTCCTGCTCTCCCTCCCTCCTTCACTCCCTCCCTCCCTCCCTCACTCACTCCCTCCCTCCCTCCCTCCCTCCCTCCCTCCCTCCCCTCCCTCCCTCCCTCCTCTTCCCCCCTTTCGTATCTTCAACCTCTCACCCATCACCCAAGGTCTACCACGTCGGAGCTACCCCGCCGGATTGCAAGCCATGGTGCACTTCGCAGCCCGGGCTTCTTCATCCATGCCTCCTGCTCTCCCCTCCCTCCCCTCCCCTCCCTCCCTCCCTCCCCTCTCCTCCCCCCCCTCCCTCCCCTCCTTCCCTCCCTCTGTCCCTGCCTCCCTGCCTCTCCTCCCTCCCTGCCTCTTCATTCACCTACTCGCATACACAGATGACTGGGGATTCTGCTGGCATCTTGATGGTGGAAAGCCATTCTCCACTCTGATCTTTGCTGTCTCCGTTCGCCTCGCATTGGCAAGGAGGGGCGTGAACACGGAGAAGATCAAAATCCGCCAGCTGGGCTGGATTCTCTACGCTGTGAGTTCCTTAGCATATTTTAACCGTGTTGTTGGGTGGTATGGCGTGGGTAGGAGGGGTTGCTTGCACCGCATTTCTAATGTCTATGTACGTGCTCTTAACTGTCTGGCTGTGCCGCAAGCGGGAGTAAGGATTTACGTGTAATGCGCATTCTTGTTTGCTTTTTCCTTTCTTTATTCCTTCACACACTTGCAGTTTGAGTGGCCCATCCTGAATAATGCTCCGGATGGCAAGCTCTCCACCAAGTGGGAGGTCAACCGCACCAACTACGAGGCCATGTGCGTGCGCGCCAAGAAGTGGGTCGAGGTTGCCGTGCTCGACTTTGGCGTCCCGTACGCTGCAGAGACGCATACGTTCAACTTCCCACACTCCATCTACATTGACGCGACCGACTTCGAGTCGCTGGTGCGGGAGGTTGAGGTACGTTGCTAAGTTTTCTATGGTACCAGCCGCATCTGGTGCTGAGCATTTGTCCGTGATGTATTGCGTGGTGGTTGTTGTGTTCGACCCATTCATATATGTCCTCATGGCTGTCACTATGTTCGGGTGCAGAGGAGGGCGACCCGCACAATCATTTTGACGACTGTGTAATGCTCCAAGTCTTCCATGACGCCCCATGGTGTGCGATCGAGCTGCAGAAAGCATGAGTAGAGGAGATGAGATTGCAAGGTTGAATGATGCAGTCGGGCCTCGTGTGGGTTAAAAGTGGGCAGGGCAGTGGCTTGGGTATGAGAATTTTGCAACAGCAGACTGTGGGGAGATAGGTTGTGTGAAAAGTTTGAGGTGAAACAGCCACACCCAGGGTATGGAGATGAGCAACACAGGCAGCAGTGGTCTACAGGTGGTGTTGAGTCATGCCAGCAGTTATACCAGGGGTTTGGACCTTGGCGGCACCGAAGTTATCACGGGAGGGGGCGTGCAGTAATGTTTCGTGGAGGGGCGGTGAGCAGTTGTAGTAATGGCTAAGGTTCTATGGTGAACAGGAGCAGATTAAGGGAGGGGTGGTGAGCAGCGGCAGTAGTAATGGAACATTAGTGAGCAGCGGCTGCAGTAACAAGGGGTGCTCGTGATCAGAAGCAGTATTAGCAAGGGATGGTCGTGATCAGCACCAGTATTAGCAAGGGGTGGTTGTGATCAGCAGCAGCAGTAGGAGGCGGGCGCTAGTGAAGAGTAGCGGCAGCAATACGGGTGTGGTGGAGGGAGGCGAGAGCAGCATGGGGTGTTGGTGAGGAGCAGTAGTTGCAGGGGATGGTGGGGGAGCAGCTGAGCATCATGTGTAGCAAAGGGTGATGTTGAGCAGCAGCAGTAGCAAAGGGTGATGACGCGCAGCAGCAGTAGCATGGGGTGGTGGTGAGCAGCAGCAGTAGCAAGGATGTGGTGGTGGGAGGTGACAGCAGCAGGGGGTGGCGGTGAGCAGCACGAGTAGCAGGGGTGGTGGTGAGCAGC